CTATCATGGATGGAAAACACGGCCATATAGATAGGTCTGGCAACTCGACAGTGTTTGTACGTGGTCGGAGTGTGCCGTTATTGTATACGGCATATCGGGGGAATGCTATGTGGCGCTATCTACATTCATAGTATAGCATTTTAAGTATTACAAATTTACTATTTTGATGGTATAGATGGCGAAACAATCATATACAAGCTATTATAGGAGATATTATGGGCATATAATAATATAATATACCTATCTAAAATTATTAAATATAAATATTAAAAATTATTTGTGTACCTATCTAATTTATGGTAAAATTAATTGATAATATACAGACATACTAGTACTAGTCTTTAGTTTCTACTACTTTCTAGTTGTTGAACATAATAAATTCACAATGCCTAGAGTATGCTCAATATGTAGAGAAAAAAATGATCTAACACTTTTTAGAGTGCCGATCAATAGTGTTAGAGCACAAAAATGGCAAGAGGTTTTTGGTACTCAAGAAACATTAGTTCCCGGCAAAATTGTTTTGTGTGAAAAACACTTTTTGTCAACAGACATTGTAAGACAAAATGAAATTAAAGACCCTATTACAAATCATGTTATTTGTACAGTGAGTATATTTTTAATACCATAATAATAAAATATCAAGAAATTCGTTGAACTAGACCGGTTTAGAACTATCCCACGCCAAATTGAATTTTCCCCGTCTATGGCCATTATATCTATATATCGCTTACTTAAAGTAACCTAACATAAAACCTTACTTAAATTTTGCATATACACCAACATTAACTGGAAAGACAAAAATATTGCAAAAAAATATTGTCTATACTTAAGATGTTACTCTGGCATTAGCAATTTAAAATCCAAATCATTTAAATCTACTACAGATATATCACTTTCAACTAATACAAAGTCGGTATATGCTCTTCGTCAGAAGCTTCAAAGTAGGTATTGTACTTTACTTCAGTTTCAGAAACTAATTTAATAACTGTGGCCATATATATATAGGAAATAAAAAACAAAAGCTGCGGAGGTTAGGTTAGAAGAACTTTTACTTATTTTCACAATGCTTTGCAATTTTAGTTTCAAGTTTAATGCAGGAGTCTATTCCCTCTAATATATACATAATATATTTTAATGTATCAAATTGGGGAATTTTAAAAATTATATAACACAATATACTTTAGTTTAAGATTAATATATAATTCTTATTATGGATAGTTAATATAAATTAATTTAATGTATGTTATTTTAGTAATTAATATTTTTTTTAAACTTTTAATTAAGGATAGAAATTTTGAAATAGATTGCTCTAAGTAAGACTATACTGAAACCTGATGCTGTTCCTATTTTTGGAGTAAAAATTCCTATTAAAACATATTCTAGGATACCCACATCAACTACAGTTAAGGTAAATCTATTTTTTTTTATATAACCCTGTAAAGGAGAAGACCTACTACACTTACCACATTATTATATTTTTATTGTGTCTTCTGGATCAATATAGTATTTTTAACTATAAACTGCTGACCACCCATATAATTTAACATTTGATGAATCATCTTGTACATCAGTTTATTATTGTAGTCAGTGACAACAAATTCATTTTTAAAGGATTTTACAGGAATTAAATATAAATGTAGTTCATTCCAAACATAAGTTATGTCTTTAAATTTAATAAATTAACTTCTTGTATTATTTATAATATTATAGTTAATGATTTAAGATTTTATAGATCTACAAATCTAAATAGCTTTCAAAAAATTATGGTTTATATTTTTATAACATAACAGTTTAAATCTTTATGATTCAGGAATCTACCCACATAGCAAAATTATATTTTTAAAATATTATTAAAATACTTTATAAATTATTTAAATGTTTTCAATATATTTGTTCATGGTTGTCAAAAAGTTTTAAGATATTATCACAATATTATTAGATCATCATTTGTCCAACGATGAAATATTATAAATATATTCAACAACAATATTTACATAATATGTTGGTGATGTTATTTTGAAAATATGTCACATACAATATTTATGAAATATGTTGCCAATAATATTTTGAAAATGATTGGTACGCAATGCTTTTGAAATATATTGGTGATATTATTTTAAAAATATTTCGTATACAATAATTGTGAAATATATTTCTAATAATATTTTGAAAGTGATTTGCACACAATGTTTACTAGATATATTGGTGATATTCTTTTGAAAATATTTCGTAGACAATATTCATGAAATATATAGGTTACATCAGTTTGAAAACAATATATTAAACAAATAAAACATTATGGGTGATAAAATAATTATGTTTTATTATTATGATACTTTACTTGTATATTTTAGTTAATATGAAGTTATACAAAATAAAAGTGGTACATATATTATATTAAAAAAAAAAATCTGACTGTGTCTTACAGAAAAATAATAATTATAAAAAAGGTAATACTTCTTATATGTATATTTCCGTTAAGAATAGAATAAAATTTATACAAAATAAGTGTTACTTATATTGTAATATTAAAAAAAAATCTGACTGTATCTTACAGAAAAATAATAATAATAAAAAGGTTTATCTTGTCCATGTATATATTAATATAAGACTTGTAATAATCAAAACAATATGATAAAAAAAAAATTATTGACTTATTCACCTTTGTTCACCCTTGTCAAATATTTTATAATATATTAAAATAAAGAAATAAAAATAGAATTATGATAAAAAATAATCATACTACAAGTAATAAAAAGCTTTTAATAATTTAAACAATTTTTTCTGCATTTTTTTTTATCCTTGAAGGAGCTTGTGCCATCCAACTCTTTATTGGCTTTTCTATTTCTTTGATTGATACATCTTTAAATTTTTTCATTTTTAAAATCGCATCTGCAAGAATAATATAAAAAACATGAGAATACAATAATATTATATAATTTGTTGACAATTTTATGAATCATTAAAATTATTTAAATTTTGGACTAAAATAAATAATATTAATAATATAAATCAAAACAGTAAGACAATTTTTAGATAAATACATCTAGTTTATTTACAAAAAATAGTTTTTATGAAAACTGTTTTTTACTAATGCGTATGCTATAACTATTTGTACATAGTTTACCAAATAATAGGAATAGTATATGTATAGATGATACACAGATTATTATATACAAATAAAGTACTTGCCTATTATAACTGTACAATGCTGAAGGTTGGAAAATGTTTTTTTGCCTTTAAAACCTATAAAAGAGTAGTTTGCCAAAAAATTATCTGTAAATAATTTTTGCATTATTTTTCTTACGGACTCCGATAAACTGTCTCCCATCAACCGTGTTAACAAAACAATCTAGAAGATATTGTAATTAATAAAATAACTAACTTGCAGTATATTATCATGTTGATTCAAAATATTTTAATTACCACATAAGCTTTATATTGTCGGTCATTGGTTAATTTATCTTCCAATTTTTCTAGGTCATCATTGTTATCAATGCATATTATGTCATTTTCATAATTATCAAATACATTATCCAAATTAGAAAATGCATTATTGCTATTCAGCTTATCATTAATTGTTTCTAATAATGAGTAAAAAGAATCAAGACGTTTGTTAACAGATTCAATTTCGTACTTCATGTTGGTCATAGACCTGGATATAAACTTTTTGAATCCTAAACAAAATGTTTAAGTAATATTTAATACAAAAATAAAATTTTCAAAACAACATTTTTATATTTACCTTGGTCATTATCATATTCAAAATTAGATGCCTGATGCCGTTTGTCTTTATTTTTAAATGATTCAGTTAACTGAGTTTTTGGTGTAGACTGATATGATCTTGATGATTCAGGTGAGTTATGATCATATTCAAAATTAGATGCCTGATGACGTTTGTCTTTATTTTGAAATGGTTCAGTCAACTGAGCTTTTGGTGTAGACTGATACGATCTTGATGATTCAGGTGAGTGGTTTACATAATATGTCGGTGTTGTTTGATGCTGGGATAGTTTGGAAGTTGAACTTTGGTCATGAGCTGTAAATGATCCAGTTTTGTGAAAGACTTTAAATTTTTTGTTTTTTGTTGAACTAGATGAAATTTCACGAGTAAAATCATCATCTGGAAAAGGCTTATAATTTTTATCAACATCTTTCTCAGAATCATTATTCTCAGAATCTGTAACAGAAATTAATTAATTATTAAAAGTGTTTTGAATCAATGAACAAATCAAAATTTGGCACCGTATTAAATACATTTAGAATAAAGTACTCCGGACTAAATCTTATTATATTAGAACATTATTGTGGGGCTGAAAGTGGGTGATTATTTCTAGAGTTGAAAGCAGGAAGTTTGAAGTTTATCTTATTTTTAAGAACTCTGGGCATGATATTTTATTATTAATTAATTTAAGTACACAATAAAATATGTATTACTTATATTCTTTAAATAATGTGTTAAAATTCAACTATACATCAATTTTTAATAGAAATTTACCAATTTTACCACATATTTGATAAATATAGGTACTTGTAATAACTATCAAAAATATGTTTAACATTAATATAGTGATATATACAATATACATACACTAAACTTGTTGTGAAATGTTAGAATATTTTACCTTCAGAATCGATTAGTGGTGGAGAAAGAAGCCTTGTTTGGTTTTTAGACGACACAAATCTTGAGTTTTTCTTCTTTTTTAAGCGCATATCCTCATATAAGTTATCGCATGATGATGCCTCTGAATTCTCCTGAGCCAAAGTACGAGCTTCTAAATAATTTCCTAAATACATAAAATTTTTTTTAATAAAAATATTAAATGCAACATAAATAGGTATTGTAATTGCAATTATGGTTACATTTCATATTTTAATATTTACATGAATATTATTATTATTTACTATTTTGTATACTTACCAACATGCTCATATAATATTTTTGCCTTATAACTGGAGAATTCTATCTCATTTGGTGCACATCTTTTTTCTATATTTTTACTAATTTTGCTGTTGGGCCATGCACAGAAGCCATCTTTATACCAAAATGCAGGCACAGCAGCTAATGTGCTGTCGTCTTCAAATAGTACAACTATCCACATCCTTCAAAACAAACAATACATATACAATATATACATGATAAAATATAGAACCTATTTACATTATGTTTATACAAATTTAAAATACCTGTTGTTTTATTTTTTACACATTCTACTGCACTAAATCTAATACTTAATAAATATTATACATATAAATATGATATCTACATAATTACATAATAAATGTATCATAACTTATCTAATTATAGGTATAGATATACAATTATCATCAAAGTTGATCATAACAACTTTTTTTTTTATTTCAGTTATCTTCCACTGTTTTGTCGTTTCTGAGAGACTTTTAACAATCCAAATATCTAACTTCGATGACTTTAAGGGTTTAATGAACAAATTTTCTTTGTATAAAAAATGCCTACCAATAATTATATTAATGTGCGATAATATATCAATTATTTTAACTATTTCCCCTCCTGTTGTAAGAATAAAACAATCTGGCTCGTGTGTTGAAAAATTTAATTGATCGTGATGATTGTCATATGTGATATTTTCATTATCACAAATTTCTTTGTATCTTTTAACCACCTGTTGTAAAGGCTTATCATGTTTTCGTAGCATCCGTTTCAAATACTTCATATAGTTTTCAAAATAAAAACAGCTGCAACTATCTAGAGGTCCATACATCTTATAGTCATCAGCAGGGCTCGGAAGTTGTGGCACTAAAAATGGTAATTTTTAGCTCCTTAATAAGCACTAAAAAACTCTAAAATATGCGCTATAAATAGCACGAAAAATCAAAAAATATGCATTTAACTTGAAAAAATTATAATTATAAATTTATTACAAAAAAGGTGGGTAAGTGGATGTCGCTCTGCTGTACAGTAGGTTACAAGTGGGTCACTGTATAATTGATGCTATTAAATTTGAATTCAATGATACAATATCATTGTATAAGAAAAACGATTCTGAGCGAAGACGGTATGTCAGTCTAGGTTAAGACAAATTATATACATATCTATGGTATTAAAAAAAAATTGACCTATAATAAATTCCAAATTAATCATATCACATTATCACAATATCCATTAGGTACTAATAACACGTTATACACCAACAACAAACCCTGATACTATCATATATATATAATAGTACACTTTAGAAGTTTCAAGTAGGTACCCACGAATAATATTATATAATCACAACAAAATAACTAGGTTTTTTAATATGTAATTTCGTCAAAATTTGAACATAAAATGACTATAAAAATAAACTGTGATTGTATATTTTTTAGATTTTTCGGTAAGAGAATTAACTACTTACGTGAAATCTTGTTTTAAATTTTCAATCCTTAGCTATAAAAACTGAACATTTTATAATTTATTAATTACGATGATTAATAATTTTCGAGATTTTGAAAAATTCTGTCAAAATTCGATGTTAAAATGCTTATAAAAAAAAATTGTGCCTATGTATTTTTAATATTTTTCAACTGATATTGTAACAATATATCAGGAGCCTTGTATTAAATTTTTACACTTTTTGGCCCAACAGATAAAACTTAATTAATATTTATAGAAAAAAAAACTAAAAAAATTGAAAACTGAAAATGTCCGTAAACGGCTCAAAAAGAGTCAAAATATTTTCAAAATTGTATGGTGTATAGGAAATGCTAATATAAACATTCAGTGAAATTTTCATGTATCTACAGTAATTCGTTTTTTAATTACAACAAAAAAAGGAAATTGCCACATGAGAAATCGAGTGAATATCCAATGTTGTAAAAATTTGAATTTCAAACGCTCATAAAAATTTAATTTGACTTTCCGGTAGAGATTTTTTTATTGATAAAGGTAGACAATCTTATGAGTAATCTTGTATTAGATTTTCAAATCTTAGATTTAAAAAGAAAAATTTTTACGAATTCTTAACTCAAAATAATTTGCTAATTTTCGTGATTTTTCCATATTTTGTCAATTTTTGAACTTTAAATGCTTATAAAAAAAATTGTGACTAAGGATTTTTAATATTTTTCATCTGACCTTGAAACAATATATTAGGAGCCTTCTATTAAATTTTCAAGCTTTCGCAACCAACAAATAAAATTTTATTGATATTTCTAGAAAAAAAACTAAAAAAAAACTAAAAATGAAAATGTCCCTAAACTGTTCAAAATAAATCAAAATATTTTGAAAATGTTATCGTGTATAGAAGATGCAAATATAAACAACCAGTGAAAATTGCATGTACCTACGGTCATTTGTTTTAAAGTTACACCAAAAACCAAATTCAATTTTCTGAAAAATCGATTTTGCGTAAAAATTCCCGTTTTTCCTTAATTTTTCTTTTGTTTTTCCCGGCGCTCTTGAAAACTACTGGGAAATTTAAATTTTGACCTCCCCAATGCACCAACGATATTCACTTTCCAATCGAACAAGATACTGAAGTCGAAAATCGAAGCATTATTTCGACTACTTATCGTGTACACAGACACAAAAAAAATAAAAAAAAAAATAAAAAAAATAAAAAAAATAAAAAAAAAAACACACATCATTGTAAAATCAATACATTCATCGTTTCACTCAGAATCTAAAAAAAATTAAATGTTATTATTTTATTAATTATTATTCATTACCAAAAAAAATTAAACGTTATTATTTATTATTAATTATTAATTACATTTGCCAATTTCTATACTGTTATATAATTATAAAAAATATAACCAAATAAAATTTAAAAATATAACCAAATAAAATCATTATTTTCAACTAAATTTGGTTATTTTCCAAATTATCTGATAATATACCCAAAAATAGCACTAAAAACCTTAAAATGGCAAAATAGCAATAAAAATCATAAATATGCAAAAAATGGCAAAATAAAATTTCTTGTATGACATCAGATAAGTGTGAAACATATTTGTATCTTACTTTGGGTGTTCTAGGACAAACCAAAAAAAATATGCATTTGCCACAACTTCCGAGCCCTGGTCATCAGCTAAATGCAGTAATCCATGAACATTGTGTGACATAAATTCAATACCATAAATTTGTTGGAAAGTTTTTACAAAATAATCTAGAAGTTTATGAGCATACTCCAAATATTTACAATGATCTGAACTCAATAAAATTCTCATTGCAATACTGAGGGTCATAAAATTGAGGTAACAGTCTTCAGATATAACATTTTTTAATACTATAGGACCAGTGTATAATAAAAATTGTCTGAATTCTGTTGCTTTGAATCGTCCCACTTCTTCAAGTCCCCTGGGTTTTCTAGCAAAGTCATTTGTAATACATGTTTTTATTTTTAAAAGATTGGTTGTAATTTTTTTTGATTTCCAACTTGGCAAGCGTACATTAGATGGCCCCTTATTTAACCATAAGGTTATTAGTCGTTTTGTGACACCTAGACACACCAAGTGCATATAATCCAACGGAAACAAATCAACAATGTTAATGTTGGGAATCAATGCAAGACATGATATTGTGGGTGAAACATGATATTGCTCATTTTTCATCATAACATAATCTTCATGATTTCTTTTTTCATTGCCATTTTCGTTGTAAGGAAAACAAACATGATTTATGCAATATTCACCTTCATGTAAACATTTAGTGCATGAAAAGTAACCTGAATGTCCTTTTATTCTTAATATATAGGCCTTAGCAGGGGAATCACAACAAATAATTTTAATTTCAATTTTTCTAAGCTGATTGTTCACCATTAATCCACTTCTACTTAATTCTAACACTTCAGCAATAAAATCAGAAAGATAGTTATTACTATCTGATGGTTTTTTATTTCCATGAAATATTCCAACAGGAAAAACATATTTGTGATAGGGCATAATATAGGCCAAAATAGGCCAAAATTGACTGGAGCTACTTTTCGATATTGGTAACCCGTCGATCCCAACTGCAATTTGAATAGTCTCTTGCAAAGGTAAAATTGATGAAAACCTTAGTATTCCATTACGTAAGCCAAAATGATAATACATACCATTTGGGTGTACTTCTCTTAAATTTAAAACTTTTGTAGAGTTAGAATGAAGAAGTGTTCGACAATCTTTAGGTATAAATGAAAGTTCAGCTTTATATTTCAAAATTTCTAAAAGTTTATTAATTGTATTTTGAGGTACATTATAATCTACAGCCCAATGAGCCAATGATTGTAAAATATCTTCCTGGCGGTTATATTTACTTTTATAAATATTTATAAACTCATCATTGCTGGATTTTAGTACATTTTCAATAACTATATTTGGAATTGAAATATTATTACGTTCTACTATTAGCTGATCAGACTGGTCCATAACTGAGTTAACAATGTTTAATGTACTTTTAACAGTACTTGAAATAGGAGTTGCGTTAGGTAATGTTTCTTGTACGGGTAAAATGTCATAAGTACTATTTAAATCATCTGGTAAATGACCTGTATACCAATCACCCAAAGCATCCAACTCCCTTTGCACTTTTCTTTTTTTTGTTCTAGTACAAAATACTTTTTTCATTTTAAACAAACTGAAAACATTAATAAAATTTAAAAATACATAAACAATAAATTGAAAAAAAAAAAAGACAAAAAAGTTAAATTAATATTATTATTTATAAAAAAATATAAGTAATGGTCATAATATTTTACATTTAGAATGATATACCTATAGTTAAAATATAACAATAATAATAATAATATAATTATTAGCCAACAATGACTTATATATACAAACATTTTTTTAAATTAGTTAATCCCCTGTAAGCTATAGCTATTATTGCTTGTAATGTGTGGAAGTGAGTTCGGTTTGGAATGTATACAAAAAAACACAATAATAGAACATAATATTAAATAATTATTTAATTGATGGATCATTTGCAATGTATTTGTTAGTCTATTGAGTATTCTTTTTAATATAATGTTAAAGTGACTAGTAGAATGTGCAATGCCAAAATGTAATATATACATAGGTACCTATAGTTTGTATTAATGATAAATAAATACCTAGTAGGTATGTTTGAGTTTAATATTACATATTTATCTAACTTTTTCCA